AATATTTCTCAAATAGCAAAACATGAGTACCACTTCTAGTTCTATATTACATGGCGCGGTTTTCCGTACCTCCTTGAGGTACCGTATGAAAATAAACAAAAGCTACATCTTAGTAACAATACTTCACATGTTGGTGGATTTTTTGTAAGCGCGTAATTTGTTATTTGAATTTAATTTAATCATCGACATATATAAATTACCAGCCGATGAAATATTTTCAAACTAAAGTTTAAAAAGTATGATAACTCCAGTAACGCAACAAATAACATGACAGATCACAGAAATTAGGCAGAATAGTTGTAATCCAAAGGGATAGACATTGAAATGTAAGTATAAGAAAATACATATCACCGAACAAGCAAAAAAATGACACTAAAGGCAAACCCGTAGAGCAGCATCCTTGATGATCAAACAGATAAAGATAACATTGTACACTCTACAAAGAACCCTGATCGTGTTAAGAATCATGTACTTTAATAACGCTAGAATTCGTATTATAGTTTAATAATTTTTGTTTTGATTGTTAAAATAATTTCCTTTCTTTAATATAGATTTTCTAACACTTATTTAGCAATTTTTTTTTTCTTATTTGCTAAAAATTTCAGAATTTTCAAAAGTTGCACATAAATACATTGGAAAGTTGTAAAGGCCACCTGTACACAAACATCGACAAAATAATAATTATCATATGATAAATGATATTATTTATTAATATTATAATATTATCGAAGTGCATCTGCACTATTTTATTGTGTCACCAACTGGCCAGTTATCGCCGTCAGTCTGTCAGCAAATTTCTTGCGTTCTAACTTGCAAGGCCTACGTCCGCCAACACCCCACATCTCTGCGGCACCGCATCACTACCCTTAATCACAGCTGCGAAGGAAGCAGCCGAGAGATTTGCTAGTTCAACATGGGAGGTCTTAGAAACATCCCCAACGCGGACGGACATCTTTCTTTCCTACTTATTCTTTTTTTTAATTTCATCGTTCCTGGATTTCTTAGCCTCATCCCCGGACTCATTTGACACACGACTGCTCCCGCGATTATTAGAGTTACGCGGAAACTCATCCAAACCCAAAGCTTCAGCATCGGACGACATATCCGCGTCAGAACAACTATCCTGACTGTGGTGGGACCCCGCAGACATTCCTGCCAGTGACCCCCCTTGGTCTTTTTTTGAGATTCTGCCCATACCCCCGCGCACCAATCGCTAACAAACAAACGCAGCAGTTCAGCAAACGGCAAATATAAATTTAGCAGTATTGACGCCCAACAGCAATCGTCAACGAAGCTTGAATCAAGCTGCAGCTCAGCAAACAGCTAAAGCAATATTAAATCGCCCAGCAACACGCCCAAATATCGGCTCAATTAGCAGCAACCTGCAAAAAGAAGGAAAGCACTAATTCAATCAACACTCTGAGTTTTAAATTTACAAGCGGAACAATGCGGAATTGAAACAATCTTTTCTGACTTTTATTGCATACAGCCAAATGCCAATGAAACACAGTTTTGTCTTGTTTCGTTTTCCCTTTTATTTTTTTATTTCTGCGTGCGCATGCGCACACACATAAATTCACAATGTTTATACGAAAAATTCATATGAAAGAAAATTAAAATTTAGCTTTTCTTTCCTTTATTTCAGTTATTTTTATAAATTGAGTATTCACTTTATTTTTTACAATTTTTCACTTAACTTCAAAAGAAATGCCTATGTGAATCTCATGTTAAGAGGAAAGAAAAAAAAACTAACTTACTCTAAGTTAAACAGAAGGAAAGGAAGAAACGAAATTGCATTCCCGACACAATTCAGGTTCGTAAAGACTTTCTAGTCCTTCGTCAGATGTCGCTTGAATGCGTGAACTCGTTGCAATCTTTACTCCTCTCTTACAGGACCCGTTTCATGATAATTTCCAAGTTTTACAAATTGCCAGTTTTTGGAGAAAATTTTTTTGCTAAGTGATGAAGCGCGGTGACCTATGGGAACTGCTTAAATTAATTGATTTCCAATATTTCGCCATATTTTTAATATTCGCCATATTGCTTTGTTAACCAGCATTGTCCAAAGAATTACCTTTTATATAAAGCAATGGTCGATTTAACCAATAAAGGTAAATTAGTTTAAAAAACATATTCGAATCCTCACCCAGTTAGAATTATTAGAAAATGTTCTGTATAACAAAAATTCTGTAAAGAAACGAGTAAAAGCAAAGTAATCAGATGTTTACTAACATGTATGTAAGTTACCTGAGTGGACCGAGTCCTTGAAGTTCACCAGATCATGATAAAATGTGCTTTTTAATTCGAAGCTTTACGAAGTTTATTGGCTAATGTATAATTTCATTTTTGCTTTATCGACTAGAAAAGAAGGGATTTAAATCGCTGGATTGCCTAGAAGCAGACTTAAAAGAAACGAACTTTAAAAAGTGCTTCGCCAGACGTGTATTAATTGAAATAAAGAAAGAATCCCATGATAATTAAAGCATACTATTAAATATTTATTAAAAAATTTTTTAAATAGATTCTGTTCGCGTAGACTGGAAAAAGCGAAAATTTTCCGGACAATTTTCGATCGTAATTGTTGAAAAATTTCTATATTCAAGCTTTTTATCAATTTCTAAGTTTAGTACGCTGGTGTGACTCAAATTTTCTTCAGCTTATCGAATTTTTTCGACATTTTAATAACCTATGCCTTCTATAACAACTCTTCCCGTAATGTGCACAAGTAAGTGCAATGTTTGTAATTTAAAAATTCGATCTTTTAAATTTTTTATACCCATCATCGAAATATGTATTACCTTCGCCAAGCAAAGCATTTACGACTTTTTTGTTTTTAATTATAAATCTTGTCAAAAAGTAAGCAATAAAAAGAGCTAAAAGCTAACGCCCTTTCGTCATTTCGACCTTTTTGGATTTAATGTCTACGACCAGTATTGTACATATTTTGCTAATCTCAACAGGAAAGTAAGATGATTAAATACTTAATCTTAACGTAGCGCATGCATGCAAATACCTTCAACAACAAGTAAGAACATTACAGTCGGCGAAGGAGGACCACTACTACCCTACACCACATTGTCTAACACAATTCTTATTTTTATTAGAGAACACAAAAATTATATCTTGTTTCTTTATAAAGGCATATATTTCATGTGCGGGCCCACAACAAGTGGGTGGGACGACACTTCGTTATATATCTGCACAAGCTTTGAGCTTCAGCGTAACGTGGGGTCTGTTGTACTTGGTGCCTGGAGACACATCCAGTGAAAGTACCTTTACGAGACGACTTAGAGGACTTATCCACACGTTTCGGAGTTGCCTGCATAACGCACAAAAGGTTGCCCGACTCGTCGATCTTCCACCGTTCTTGCGAATGTTCGAATGTTCCGAATAATTACTACTTCCCTTATTGTCCTCCCTCTTTATACAAGACCTGCTGATCATAACGCTCGCATGTACATTGGATGTGGCCTGAGCAATTACTCTAATATAAAAATAAAAAACTCTTCTACTTACTCTTCTACTGCTTATCCCTTCTAAATATTAAGAACTGCATGTCCCTTGAAAAAGTTTGAACCAAGTAGCGTTTTTTTACAACGTTCACAGGCTTATAACATATGAAAGTATGTTAGGGCTTTATGTGAAAACTGGTTTGAGTTTATTGATTGCTTTGTGGCTCGGGAATTGGACATTTCTGGTGCAGTGGTTTCATTAATTAAGCAGAGATTTGAACATGTGTACCTATTATTATAGATAGCTTTAAAATCCGTAACTAAAATGCTCTTGCTTGAAAGTTGAACGCAGGTGGACAGAGCCAATTGTAAAAGTAAACAATGATCAGCAGCGATGATCTGCAACGTCCAGCGGATTTATTTGTTTACTACCAAAAACGCCGCAATTTATCAAATTAACATTAAAGGCAGTTAGGTGTTTTATGCACATTTCATGCCACTGCCCTCTGCGCTAAGCCGCAACTAACAGCGATAGCAAACAGTCCGTTGTACACGAGTCGTCCTGCGCTGCGAAAAGATTTTGCGTTGAATTGCCGGAGCTGAGCATCATTTCTGATTGTTTTCAAATTCCAAAAAGCGCTAATCTGCTCTGAAAACAATCTGACAGAATTTTTGATTAGAATACGAAAAATGTATAAAGGAGTGATCTGGTGGTTACATTTTTCGTTAAATCCCAATAAGGCACAAGTGCTTCTATACTGACATTGGGTGCATAAAATACAGTACATTGCTTGAAGATCTAAGCATTGCAACCCGATATTGTCGTTAATACGTTTCTAAAGCATTGGATTGGGTGCAATAAGAATATAGGCAAAAGAACTCTTCAGAAATGTAGTCATTACTGCTGGTTCGAATGTATACGTGGACGACGTTGACAGGACAAGGATTCTATTTTACCGTTTTTTTTTTGTTCTTTTGTTGAGTAGTGTTACCAGATTTCCGCAAAATTCTGCAAAAGTTAATAGAGCATGGTATATTCGTCTTGTCAAGTCACTGCAGATTTTCTTTCAAAGCTTGAGTCCCTGTTGGCGAAATACTTACCCTTATGTCTATCTGGGAAGATTGCAACGCATAAAGCTGTCAAAACCTTACTCTGGGATCCTGAAGATGGTGTTTTGAACAGGAGATAGGAGAAAATTGTAAATAATTAAAATGGTCGGAGTTGGTGTAAATTCATGGCATGTGGAAGAAGAAGAATTTATATTAATAATGTAGAAAAGTAACAGTCAAGCTAGCAGCTGCAGGCCTGCTTTCTGACATAAAAGCACCCAGAAAGCACTATCTTCATTTTAGAAATCGGTGCTTAACTTTTAAAATTCGACATTTAACCTTGTTATAAATGTCACATTTACAATAAATTTTTACACGTTTGTTGATATGCTCATGAAATAATAGCATATTATTCAAAGAGCAGCCAAATAGTTTAGACCAACCGCTTTATTATTTATGATACATTGCACCTTTGGGAAGGCATTATGTAAGAAATTGTTTTTTTTTTTTTTTTTTTTTTTTTTAATTTATAACTGATAAGACATTTGCTAATTTGTGCTTACGATCTATTATGAAACAACTACTTGTGCTAAGGTCGGACTGTTGCCAAACAATAAAGAGAATTTAACTAAATTAAGTTTAATACAATATTATAATAACTACGTTTGTTAACTCTGTATACTTAAGGTTAGAGAATATTCGTTTAAAGTAGAGTATTAAATACTTTTTTTTTATAAATTAACATTAAACACAATAAATGATACGGGAGTATAAAGATGTAATCTGAAGTAAAGGCATGTCTTTTTTTTTTTGTTTTTTAAAGAAAAAGTCTTTTCTCATAATTTCCTAGTTTTACGAATAGATTATCATTTTAACGTCATTGGAGAGATGGTTGTGAAACTTTCTTTGAAAATTTCTTTGTCATAATTCTTTCTACTGTAACTGCTGTTGGGAGGTTAAACCGGCAGGGCCGTAGAGAAAACTTGACTGTCTAATTATGGAAACTGTGGCTGCTGCTACACCAGCCTGCGGCGGGGGCGGAGCGGGAGCTCGATGTTTTTTAAATAGCGGCTGATAACCGGCGGGTTGTAAAGGCTTCGCTAACATATTAATTGAAGATATGCTCGTGTTATTATTATCCATTAATATTGGGTTAGTATTGCTCTCACTGCTGCTACTATTGTTGTTATTGTTACTGCCACCAGTTGTTGTAACTAAAAATATTTTAATATTACATTTAAAGAATTTTCTTACGAATCCTACATATATAAAAATTAACACTGCTGTACATAAAAAACTATATATAATTTTTACTATTCATTAATTTCGGTCTCAATAAATGTCTTGTTTAAAAAAAAGAAAAACTTATGTTAATCTATATTTTTTCTTTTTAAATTTAATAAAATGAATAATAAATTAAAGCATGCTTTTGCTATATACAAAATAAAATTATTTAGTTTAAGCATATAAATATATATATATAAAAATCAAATTGTTTTGCGAAGCTTTGCTTATCATTCAATGTTTGTTTAAAAAGTTTACTAAAGCTAATCAGATAAAAAAAAGTAAATTGTAAACGCTTTGAAGCCATTCAATAGCTGCGTGCTATCCACCGTCTCAAACCGATACATTATTTGTAATCGTATCATATAAAAGGTTGCGAGTATTTTCAGACTATATTTTTTGTAATGTGTACCGTGGAACCAATTTATGCTTTAAACTTCTGTGAAGTTAGCTTATGGCGATCAGGAGTCCAGCGACAAACAATCGGCATGCAGACGTGGTCAACTTCGATTCAATTTTCTTTTTTTAATATATTTCGAGAGTTTTCGGATGTTCATTTTTGCTCGTTACAAGCGGAAAGACATATCTTTCTGACCCCCTGCAACGGTGGGCAAAGTGAATGAATATTTCTTACTCTGAATTCGAGAAAAAGGGAAAGAAACAATTTTTGTTTGTAATTTTTTAAATAAAATTTAATGAAAATTAAAAAATGTATATATATATATATAAAATTAAATATATGTTTAATATTTAGTGTACGCTAAAAGATATTATTGACAATTTTTTTTTGTAAAAGCTTGGTTTTTTATTGGAACAAAATGATTAAAAAAAAAAAAATTTTAACATTTCAATTAAATTCTTTAATATTTTTTAATTTAAATTGAGAAATAAAGAAGAATTCAATAAAAAAATTATTATTATTACCATTATTACTTTTTATAAATACTTAAAAAAAAAAAAAAAAATACTTTACACATGCATTGTTTTCTTTTTCCCAACAAAATATTTAAAACTTATAAGATTTTTTTTTAATACGCTTAAATATTAAGAAAAATTAATTAAAATAATAACAGAATTATTTTTATTTGCTTTATTTATTATTTGCTCTAATATTTAGTTGCCTTTTATGTTTCGGCTTTTATTGTATGCATTTAAACAGTGCAATGTGGAGTGTGTGCATTTATATGTGTTTGTTGTATGCAGCATGGAGATATGAGCAATTACATACCATTTGTTGCTTTAACTGTTCGACTAGGATACACTTTTGGTATATTTACAAATGGCGGAGGCTTAGGAAATTCGGTAACGTTATGAAAACGTTTACCAAACTTTGCTTCCAAATCAATGACTAAACGACCGACATTAGCATTTGTAGTAATACCACCAAATGCGGGAGCATTTACAATACCCGTAGGTGGTGTAACCGGAGCATTAGGACGTATTGACGAGTGACGCTGAGGTGGCACAGGAGGAACACCGCCAGGAGTCTGAAAATATAAAATGACAGTGCGGACAATAAGTAAAAATTTTTAAGGCGAATTATAAGTTTATCGTAAACGTATTGATCGTGACTTTTCACATTCTCAACATTATAATATATTTCGAATCGACACGATCAAATAAATTTCGATTTTTATCGAGGAATTTTCAAAATTCAGTTTTAATTTTATAGCGACTTTTTCAAAATAAGACGTTATACGGGGAGTAATCCAATCCGGACATGTAATTATTCCAGATTTCTTTAAAATGTCTTAAAAATGTTGATCTGTAGGTTGAATAAAAAAATACATAGAAAGTTGCAATAAGGACAGAAAACAATTTTGAATCGACAAGCATAATAAAGGATCGGATATATCCTCAAACTTCATGTGTTCAAACTTGAAGTCTGGAGTTTAAATACGTTCATTCCATATACGTGTAATTGTAGGAAGCGAGTTCCCTGCAGTAGTTACGAATATTTGTACAAGGATTGTGCAGAAAATATTTGACAGCGAATTAATTTTTTGAATACTAATCTCACATATAGCTATCGCGCTTTTGAACAGTTTTCCTTCAGGGTCCTCTAAGTGTGAACACACGACAATATTTTATTATGTTCTATTATAGATCCCCGATCTCTCCTAAATTATATTTAACATATTTTGGAAAACTTGGTTAACAAGATTTTTTGTATCATACATAACTGTTATTATTTTTTTGTTAACAACAAAACACATGTTCTTACACCCGACACGTTTGCAATGACTAGAAGCAACACACAGATTCACAGACCATTCTTAACACGTTGACGCTCATTTTAAAATCAGTGAGTGCTTCCCACTGAACGATGAGTGTACACTCAATTTGTTTTTTTTTCATAATGTGTGTAATATGTAATATAAATATACGTAATACGCAAAACGAAGCTTTAGGGACCCTATAAAGTATATAAATTCTTAATTAGCTTGGAATTCTCAATTGATTCAGCCATGTCTGTCCGTCTATGTGGTGTTGGTTGTTTTCACTTCCCTGACCCCAAATATGAAGATATCGACTTCAGTTTTTGCAAGAAGGGTAGTATTGAAAATGGGTCAATTTGATCAGAGCAGACGCCTGCAGTGGAGCATAAACTAAACGCAACTCCTTTTTTTTCTCAACAAAAATTTGTGGGTTCTTCCTCGTTACTTCGAAATTATAAAAGTTAGAAGACTGAAATTTTCCACATCTACTTTACGAATCACACTACTTCTTACGTACAAAAATTGAAAACATGCGCCATGCCCACCCAAAGTTACGAGTAATAAAAGTTTATCTTTTCACTTTTTTGTGGGGTTATGCTTATTTATCTTAAAGTAAACAAGACAGAATATACATTCATCAAATGAATTAAAAAAATATTATCATCTCTAAAATGAATACGGTAGATACCGCGACTACTTTTTCCGTAATAATACCAGTGATATGGGTATCAAATAAAAGAATCTGGAGAGTGGAACACGAAAGCCATAGTGGTGGGTATGCGAAATTCGGTCCCCGCCATATATAACTTTACTTGCTTTTGTCTTATTGTACTAAGAACATAGGACTGCTGTAGACGTCGTGTGCATCGTGTGCAAGCACACGCAATGGACATTTATAGACGTCATTAACGTCAGTGGGTTAATCAGCATCAAATTCTGAATCGACTTAAGCATGTCTATCTGTTTGTTGCAAACATTTTCCTGACCGTGAAAATGAAATTTTGCGAAAACATAGGAAGTTTATGCACATAGATTTGTATTGAATATGTGTTAGATTAAACGGTTTTTTGATCGTTACTCACAAACTACAGCAGATAAATCTAATACAAACATTTGAACGTGCATTCTTTGGACGAAACAGTTGCACATGTACAGAAATGGCCAAAAATATATAAACACACAATACCTCTATAGTGCCTAGAACGGAGCTTCAAAAACCTCATAGAATACATAAATTCTCGACCAGTGTCAGCTTCAGAATGAGCCTAAGCACGTCTGTCCATTAGTCTATCCATCTATCTGCCAGCCCAACTGTGTAGTAACTGTAGTAAACAGTAGAAAGGTATGAAAAACACTCTTCCATTCGCCCAAATAACAACGTCGGCTACAAATTTGTAAAAGAATTCGAAAATCACACAAATCGGCTAAAGGACATGACCGCACGCCGATGCAACAAAAACTATAAACGCCGTTCCTCTTTTTCGTTAAAAGTACAGCACACAAACCATATAAATTTTCGGTTTTATTCGAAAAATGGAAAAAATCGCCTGCGCCCACTAAACCCTATAAAATATGAAAAAGTAGGGGTTTTTTACTTTTTCATTGGAGTTTTTTAGGATAACGAAGAAGGATTTGAAAGATTTGGTCACAACCGAATATAACTTTCTTTTTCCGACTTGTGTTCAATTACCGACTTTTCTAACGTTGTGTTGGTCGGGACATAATATGATAAAAAAGACGTAATCGAATGGAAACCAGGATAGGCGAGGGTACAGATCGGCTTTCGACATAGCATTGCGTCGCGATTAGTTAGGTATTATTAGGCTGTATTAAAGATAGTAATGACTACGTATTCTTTTTTGATAATTTTAACTACCGAACAAGATGGCTCTGGCGAAGATGGCGACACGCCAACCTTTAGTAATCTCCAGATGTTAGGTTGCCAAACCAAATCAGACAAATCACATTCTATCTTAACAGTTCACATTACAATAAAGCGACAATAGTAGCTACTTGGTTAGATATGATAATATAGGAAGAAAATAACAATATGAACTTTGTATTACTTTTGGTTAAGCTTCTTAAATCTCTCCTCGCTTTTTTTACACGGTATGTTACAACCTTGACTGTGGAATCGATGCAAGAGAACACTATTTTCTCAGTCTTTTGCGATTTTACATCTTAAGGTTTACATATCCTTCGAATGGAGGATGCAATAAAAATCCATTGAAATGAAAGTAAACGTCTATAAATTTCTTTCTTTCTAAAATTCTTTTAATGTCTCCTTTCGATAATAAATCCCATTTTTTAGGAACTGTTAAATAACAACCCTTTAAAAATGTTTAACAAAACCACTTACACTTCTCTTATAATTTATCATCATATTTAAATAATGTAAAATGATATCATTTTTCTAATAATTTAATATGCTTTCACAACACAAATAATTGCAAACATGTTTTTATTCTTTGAAAATAGTCGTGAAAATATAAATGTTTTCTGTCAGTATTATTTTTATATCTACACCCAACGATTAGCCGAACACAACTTATTGTAACGATTTTTCCCTCTATCTACGGCTATTGTTGTCTGCATATTACTGCAATATATAAGAAAGCTTACGCGAAAGCGAAAATGAAACAACACTGCGACACATACACACCCCGCACATTGCAAAAGTGTTTTGTGGATGTTTACGATTTAACAGTTAAATGTAAAGCAAGAAATTTTACAAAAATAGAAAAAAAGGAACGATATGGTGCTCATTCACATGAGAGCTTCAAACAGGTCAGTGATGTAGAAAATGAGTAAACTAGGAAACAACAATTGAACATCTGCTTTATTTATTTTTATATGTTTCTATATTTCATGGTGCGTTGTGGAAAACAACATATGATTAGACAAAGAAGTAAGAGAATAATATGAGGGAAAAAAAATCGATAAAAGAAAAATTAGGGTATTGTGCTATGCTTTTCCATAGCATATTTTAAGGATTCTCTATTTAATGAAAGCATTACATTTGTTAAGTGAATTTTCTTTATTCGCAATCTTTATTTCTAAGTAAGGAAACTGACTGAAAGGTGTGAAAAACAAGAATCCTACAAGTGCCTCAAGTGCCTCAAGTCAAAGGAAAGTACTTTCAAGTCAAAGGAAAATACCTTTAACTCCAAGGAAAGTGTCTCTTAAGTTCGATAAGAGTTCATCTAAAAGAAAGGAGACCAACAACTTCAAAGTCAAGTGATTTAAGGGGGTCAGCGGTGGAATGCATACTCTAAAACTGCAGTTGTACCGCAGATGAACCAATTACCTAAATGAAAATTGACGTAAATTGATCTCGTTTTCTGGCGAATCCAATTGAAATATCTGAGAGTAGATATTAGAAAGCATTAATGTGGAAGGCATTGGACACAGATATAGAAATTTAAACTACTAACTAACGTCGACTTTTTCCTCTTCCCTGCATTCCTGCAGTTTATTAGTGCGCGAATAAATCTCTTCGTGTTTTCTTGCAATATATTCAATTTTTCACTTATCGAAATCATTACAATGAACGCGCTGAGGGGGAAATTCGCTTAGAAACTTGCTATCAGTCTATCCTTTGATGAGTTCAAACATCAAAAAAAAAAAAAAATAGACCAATGTCACGATGTCGAGTGAAGGAAACGAAAATATTTCCCCACGACCTAAATGCCTTAAAATTAGGAATAAATGCTGCCTCATATTAAATAACGAATGCATTTGCCATTCCTTCTCAGTTTGAAGCTCAGAAAAACATCGTTAGAACGAAGTTTATTGCCAAAATAAATTAGCCATTAGAAAAAAATTGCGAATTTAAAACAACGAAAAGCGCAGATAAAATCACTGTGCTAAGAATATCGCAAAAGCTTATCTTAGATAAATTCCATATTCAAGATAAGCAGCATTCTATTATGAATAATTTCGTCGTAGTTTTCCGTAGCGCTATAAGCCAACAGAGAGCTTATTGGAAAATAATTTCCAAATGTTTCGTTATTCTTAGGCATGCGAATGTTCACTAACTTGAATCAGAGTTCAATGTCGTGACCGTCAATATTGTTCATATTGCTTTGTTTACATTTTTGATAGACATTTAACGTTTGCGTCGTCGAAATTTTGAATGATCTCAAATTGATAGTCGTGCAGAAAGGCCTTTCGGACTAGTCGCGCTTCAGGCTATTTATATTAATAACATATTTTCATTGATTTACTTACATTGCTCGTTAGCCTTTGTGGTGGTAAAGGTGCTGGGCAAGTTCGATGCGGTGGTAGTGGTGGTGCGTTGATTAGGTTGATCGGTCCACCATTTAAAATGATCGGTTTAGGTGATTTATTGCTACTCAGCGGACTATTGGAATTCGAAGATTTTCCACTTGTTATTGTAGCCGACGGAGGAGGTGGTGGCGTAATCGTACAACCGGAACGCAATTGATCTCTTAATGCTGAAACACTATTAGTAGAAGATGAATTCGAAGGCGATTGCACGGGTGACGATACTGACGACGATGTAGCAAGCGTTGTCATTGTAGTTGTTGATGATGAAGAAATGAGCATGGTGTTAACGGCACTTATCGGGGCAGTTGTGGAAGTATTTGCGTAACACGTATTCAAGGTTGAATTGGAATTATTGCGAGCTGGGGTGGGTGGTGGCGGAGGCTTAACACTAGGCGGCTTGGGTGGAGCTACTGTTGGGCGTCCTGTTAATAATGAAAAATTCTCTAACATTATCTTTCGAAATGATTTCAATATTTTACGCGTTTTTACCAATGGGTGGTAACGGCGCTGTGCGTAAACTTGAATTAATAGCCTCGTGGGACTGTGTTAGAGGTGTACGCATCGTACCGAAATGCTGTTGCGTAGAGAATAAAGAGCCTCCATTAGAGCCCACTATGGGTGGTGACCTGAAAAAATAAAACTCTTCATTTTATAAATTGTTTTCTTTTAAACATTTTTACTTATATACTCTAAAATTGATTAAAATGAAATAAATTTTTTTTTGTTTTTGAGGTAAGCCGCCATGAGTAATAAAATAAAAATTAATAAATAATTAAATAAAAAAAGATAGAGTACTTTTCTGTTCTAAGCCTTAAAAAGCGGTGTTTAGCATTTCCTGATGTTTGGTGCTTTTCAAACGAATAATAAGTTATGTTATTTATTATTTTTTTGTGGTTGTATTACATGTGTTGAGGATGCAAAAAAAAAAAGAATACCTGGGTGATCGCATGCTATGATGACGTGCTACGGCCGGACGCTGGCCACTCGCCATGGCCAGTTGTTGCAAACCTGGAGGTTTAGGAGCAAAATTCGGTTTGCCATGATTCGGTTTAACAAGAGGTGTTGGTGATTTTGCAGGTGGCGATGGTGAAGCCGAACTAACGGGACTACCACCATTGCTAACACCGTTACTACTACTGCCAGCACCACCACCACCACCACCACCACCCGTTGTTGCTGTCATTGTCGATGCATTGGTGGAAAATAAAGACGATTTATTTGGAGCTAAATTACGTAAAGAACCTGTTGTTGCTGTGGAGAAACCCAATGATGTGCTGTTGTTGTTGTAATGGTTGAAATGATTTGTATTGTTTTTAGAAAATATAGTTGTTGTTGTTGTTGTCGGTGTCGATGTTGTGTTGTTGATAGTATTATTGTTATTAATATTATTGTTCTTGTTATTATTATTATATACAAAAACATTATTATGACCTAACGACAAACTGTTGAGAAAAACAAAAAAAAAAAAACAAAGAAAAAGAACATTTTTGTAAGGAAATAAAATAAATTAAATAAAAATATAATCGCATAGATAAGCAAAAGATAAAGAAGTAAATAAATGAAAAGAAAAAGTAAAAAAGAAGCTCTAATCGTTTAAACTGAAGATCTGAACTTTAAGGTTTAATTGTTTAATATTCATGTAGATTCGTAGATTTACGCTAGAAATGCTCATAAACGAATCGTAACCAGGAAAAAAAATAACCTTTTCACAATACAGTTTAATTGAAACGTAAACTATATCTAAGGCGAAGGTCACTGCGTTCTCAATAGCGTTTATTTATAAAAATCTAAATATGTATGAAAGTATGGCATACTCGGCATGAACATACATTACACATCACAGCAAATTGTTGTTCATATTGGTCAATAGTCATACCTACATTACCGAAATGCATCTAAATTACTTTGCATACTCTTTTGGCTTTTCTTGAGGCCTATCGTTTAAAAAAGATTGACTTATGCATTACGTACACGAAATTATACAACTAATAATGAGTAACTTTCTTAAGGAAATTAGGAAAATTGCGGAAAAAATGCTCGAGCATGAGTGTGTGTATGTGTGTATGTGTGTATGCATGAAGAAAATACTTAAAATTTTTCCTGTTATCATTATTGATCTAAATAAAGCCGAATTAAAAAAGGTAAAAGAGTCTGAAGGCGAAATTTTGTCACATCACTATTAACTAATAAATGGTAACAGTAAACGTGTTGTTACCTGTTGGTCTGTTACGTTTGAGGAAATCTTTCAACTATTCTTAGGATTAGGATAATCAATTACTCAATAAGTTGTATCTGTGTGTAGATGCATAGGTGAACTACGTCCAAAATGGGCGTTAATCAAAAATATTGTACCAACTGCCCTAACCCCACAGTCGGAGGGCAGGTCGCGAGGATTTTGTAGATTTAGAATTTATAGAGACTCTCAATATGATAAACGGAAAGAAAATGTTACCCTTCACTCTTTAGTGTTCGGAAACAATTAATAACTACCAAGCACAAGCTTATGTGATGAGCGGAGAAAATATTTTTCAAATGAAAGCAAAATTTATTATGATGATCGGTGACAAATACGTATTCACTATTTTAATATAATTTTTAATAATTATAAGTGTTCTATAGGTATTATTTTCGAGTTTTCAGTTTGGCACTATCGTAGGTTATTGATGAAACAAAACTCTAACCTTTAAATTTTTTTTAAAACTCTTTCATTTCTTAAATGTTTTTATGTCGCTTTTGCGACTATTGTATTGAGATAATCTCTGGCTGCTTGCCTTCTCATCTGGAAAGACTAATTGTCAGCTGCATTAGTCGTTTTGTGTGATGTGAGATCCAGAGGCCATATTTCCTCCTTCCTCTTTTGTTCATGTTTCTTTCAAATTCTATTTCTACAACTACTTAAATTTTGTTGCTGGCTGTTATTCTATCTCTTTAATATTGTTGAGTCACAAGCGTCGAATCTTTTGATCGAACGTCTTCAGTTTTCTACCCTTTTCTTCTGCCCTTTTGCTGAACAGTCCACTTATTACCCAGTTGGCTCTGGTTAGAGACTGGAATACGTTGCCGCTGACTTTGAGTTATTTTGTTGACACTTTAAATGTTCTTAAGAGAAAATTGGGCTCGTTCTTGAGCACCTGAGTTCGTCCGTTATCGGCAGTTGACAATCACAAAGGTTAGTGATAGAGCAAGGTGATTATTTGATTAGTCTTTAATTTTTTCACACTTACATGATTTATATTAATGTAGCTATATATGTTAGCTTAGGGCTTTGTTGTTGCGTATTTAAATAAATAAATAAAAATAAGTGATTTTTCATCTAAGCGCTTTTTACAAGAAAATGTTTGGCATATTTTTTCTTTTTGAAGGCTTGATCATTGCGATCACTGTCACAAAGACCTAATTATGGATGACGACGATGATGATATGATGAAGTGGAAGAGGTGGTTTTCCACAGAAGCTCTTCCTTTCCATTTGGTTAAGTTCGAGCTTCGGTCTTTTCTTAATTTTCACTTTTTTTTCTTTATTAATCTAAAATTTAATTATGAAACTGTACAAAAAGTTTGCAAATAACTTAGTTTGCCGAAGAATTGCGTCATTGTGAACTTGAGATAAATGCAACTTTTATCATGCCGATCAACTCAGGAAGTGATTTTAAGTTTGTCAGTTTGTCTGCTCATCTGGTTTTCATATGTTCAATGTACAGGCTGAAATTTATGAGATATTTTAATGGGCTTTGGTACACCGACACGTTTTGGCCCGACGCCCGACTACGTTTTCGACTACTTTCTGAATAAAGCCTTATTTTGAAAAGTCGCTACATAAATAACTATTAAACGAAGTGGTTTAGGGTATTTAATGGTGAACCATATCCCGTTATAGAGTTTTTACTTGTTTTCCCAAGTTTTTGCGAATTATGTTACAGTCTTGTTTTCGCCCTCGTTTAGGATAATGGATATAAAAAGGTTTGATTGCACAAATATTAATAATTTCGGCTATTTCTCTCTACACTTGCATGGAGTTTAAAGAAATTTTCGATATCTTTTGCTTAACGTTTTTGAACTCACTTTAAATTGGCCGCTTTACTTCGTACCGTACCGCCCGTGTTGATTTTATGCGCAAATTTGTTATGAACATTGTTAACGTTATTACTTTGAACTAATGATGTTGAAGAAGATTTCGTTGTTTCATTGGCATATACTGTTGAACGTACGTTGGTGATGGTTGAGTTCGTTTTATTCTTTTCCAAAACAGAATCGGATGTACTCTGTAAGCATGTCAATTAATTAAAAGCGTTTCTAACATTTTGCAAAATAATTGCTAGCAGCTACAAACCGTTGGTAGATTTTTGGGCGGTTGCGTAGGCGGCATAGGCGGTGGTCCACGATTCGTTCTTAGATTTGTCTCGTTAGCAATGATGTGTGGACTTTGTTGTTGTTGTTGTTGTTTTTGTCGTTTTAAAGTTAAACGCTTACTAAGTTCTGCATTAAAGTCCAAAGGACCATTACTTGTGGTGGTTGTATTAGTGGTGGTTTGCGCTTGCGGCGGACTGTTGCTATTTTGAGTGATATTGTTAAGAGTAACGGCGGGAGCTGCAATAAAATATATTCATATAAATAGCGTTGTTTTTTTTTTTTTTTTTTTTTTTTTTTTTTTTTTTTTTTTTTTTTTAGTTTATATTCAATATTTACATTTGTTGCCATTGACCGGTTTTAATTTGGGCATGGCCGTCATACCCTCGAATAAACCACCTAATTTAGGAGCTCCATTGTCTATTGAACTACCGTTACTGATGCTGAGGCTCTTATGGCAGTTATTAGACTTCTTTGGCGAATCTCCAGATCCATCGCACACCTTAAAGAGCAAAGAAGTGAAGTTAGATAATAATACTTTTAAAAATCGTATTTTTCTATCCTACCTTACCGGCCATAGCCGGACCACTTTTATCTACGGTTGTAGTCTTTTTCAATTTAGTCCCCTTTTGTATGGATTGCAGTAGAGCTGAACGAGCATCTCCCCCTCCCCCTCCATCGCCGCCCAATTTTAAACCACCCATTGCTGGTGGAGGCGGAGGTCCAGGGGGCGGTGGTGGTCCTGGCGGCGGTGGTATTGCCATCTGCAAACGTAAAACGTAAAAGCGTCTCATCAAAATGTCAACTCAGATGATAATTTAAGAAACAAAAGCAGAAATACTTTTCTCTTGCTGCTTCTTCTAATTAATCTCATTTTTTTTCTTTTTTTTTTTTTTTAATTCATACAAATGTTTATCTTCTTCTTAAAAAGATTTTCGTTTGTTTTATTCTTCAACTACTATTTAAGACTGACTCTTAAATAATTATTACAATTATTAAAACTTAGAAAACTTGTCTGCTTTTTAGTGAAACAAACCAAAAAAAAAAAGAACGGCCTACACAGATGATCTGACACTGCGGCTTAAGTTTGTGATTGTTGTCGTTGTAAGTAAGCAACAATATTAGGTATATGTGTATGAAGCTTAATTGCTTTGTTAAATATTTATAGCTCTTTGATGTAAAGCCTTTTAAATAGGAAGTCTTGACACTCGCTACTTGAGCTTGGCAGCTTTACATTTTATGATCCATTAATTTTAGATAAAATCATGAAAGTTCTCTCATACGAGATATGATTTATAAAAAAACCTTGTAGAGGCTACAAAAATAATTTAAATAAAAAGTACTATAACGAATCCTACGCTTTTGTTTTATTCAATTGTCGTCCAAGTGCTATTTGCTAAGCGTGAGGGATAAACTTGTTAAGCAATAGCTCAGCAGCCTTAAATATTATTATGCTTTTGATGACTAGTTTTACGAATCGAAATATTTTAATGTGTTTTAAGGTCTACGTCTATTAGGGGATTGCTGTTGTTGTTGCATATTAATGATGCGATTATAAAGTAAGTTAAAGCTCTTGCCGGACTTCATTTAATTATTCTTGATTGGACTAAAAAGTGAAAATTCCTAACAAATTGTTAAGACTTTGTTTCTCTACAAATCGCAGCCTGTAGAAGATATCCATCATCTAAGGTAATACAGAGCTTTATTAAAATTGAATGATAAGTGCTCTTCATTTATCAACAAACACTCCACAATTGGAGATTAACCAGGAACCGTGAGTATAGCTTCCTTATTGAAAACTTCTCGAGCTCGTATCTAAAGGTAGACAAAGCAACTTTGCCAAAATTTATGAAAGGAAGCTTTAAATAATTTTTCAACTATTTACATCCACCTAAGTGCACGAGTAGGCAAAGGAACTCGACTAACAACTCATCTGCCGCTGTCGTTGATTCAATTGCATTTATCATCTTTTAGATAAGCGGGCAAAAGAGAAGTAGGCTTGCAAAACACATTTTTATTTGCCTCTACCGCCGGACGCTATTTCCTTTGTGCAGTCGTGTTGGCTCATTGAAAATCTAAATAATTTGAAAACATTATTAAACCGCATACTATCCCTTGACAAATGTTAAGGTTAAGAGTCACCGGGTAGGCAACTAATCATGCGGTAGTCACGGGTTCAAATCTCAAAAGCGAGAGAATTTTCAATGAAGCTGATAGCTTTAGATGATAGCGGTCTAAGTTTTTCGTCTTCCAATTTATTGCTCTGGCTAAATAAATTACAGTAATAATTACAATAAAACAATTTATTGAAAACGAAGGTATGTGTGTCAGATACTTCGTCGGCATCTTTGCTACATTGACCTGAGAAGTTATTTGTGCCACCTTTTAGATCCGTATCACTCGGCTGTTGGATGACCCGCGTCTATGCTTGCATTCGATTTCTAGATTTATGTCAGCCATAAGCTAGAAGGACAGCATTAGTACAGTGCTGGCAGTGAGTGGATATGACGAATTTCGGATTTCTCACAGCTTTTATGGTAGAGAGAAAGCAACAGAGACGTGGAGGGCATTCGATTCTAGATCTATATAAGAATCTGCATATAAGTCTAATGAATATTATACGAAAGAAAAAACTTCTTTTCCACTCTTCTATTTTCTCTTCACAAGTAGTTGTAGAATCCCTTACCTAAAGTCATTACTGATTGGACAACTTGTACAAATTTTATTACCCCGCTTGTAACAGCGAAGGGGACCTGGCGAGCACAGTAAAGTATAGAGCCTATCTAGCTATAGTGAGTCCTCAGTCGGTAAAGCTATAAAATTTATTGATTGGTCCCACAGCGACTAGGTCACGACCACCACCCTCCTCTTCTCTGCGCTCTTCTTTCTGACCGTTCACGTGTTGCAAGAATAGTGGACGTCCCCTGAGTAATTGACCGCATTAAAAAAAAGTTTATGTCAATCTATCTATCGGTTTACCTATTTTTAAACTTGTTAAAATAGAGAAGATAGGAATAATGGAGAAAGAAAATTGGGTGCATGTATACTCGTTCCTCTTATTAACCATGTCTTTTATAGTACAATTTCAACAGCGACCTGAAAGTGAGGAACATATTCATTTCAAAGCAAACTTTTATTTAAAATTTCTAACTGAAGTTTTCTGATGATGCTTGCACATGTGCTATTTAATCTAGACATTAGTGATCTCCTCTCGGTGATTAAATCCAGCCTCCTCTAATGTACGCTGATGATGTTAATCGGTTTTCTCCCTTCTCCTTGGAATCGCAATTGTATCAGCTTCAAACTAATATTAATAATTTTGTCACATGACGATCGTTAAATTTTATTGAGTTATATGTAAAAGAATGCAAGGTGCTTTCTTTCTCAAGGACAAAGTCATTCAATACTGAGTTCGATTCACACGATTAGGAAAATGAAGATTCAATTATCGATTTAGGGATTCTATGCGACCAAAGCTAACGTTTTCATTAGCTAGGTCCGCATTAGGTTTCATTCATTTATTAAGGCGGGTTGCGAAGAGTTTAAGGATTCTCACCTTACAAGAAGGCTACACATGCACTCAGTTAGACCAATGCTTGGGTACGCCTGCGTTGTGCGCTCTCCTTCCTAGACGCGTTATGTAGATTCACTTGAATTTGTTCAAAAGCAATTCTTGCTGTTGGCCCTTAGGAGTTTGTGTTTGTCCCTGTCTCTCTCCCTTTTGGAAATAGGCTGCTTCTGATATCCTTAACCTTACTCCAGAAACGTAGATTAATCGTTGGTGCTTCCTTCTTAATTAACTTAATTAATGGCATTATCGTTTCGCCCACGTTACTTGGTGAGATAACTTTTAATGTCTCTAATCGCTTCTCTAGGTACTTTATTTTCATTAAGCTGAGTCAATGTAAACATAGTTATGAGCTTTTTAACCCGTTCGGAGTTGTTTGCGGAAACCTAAATTGTGTCTATTACTTAATCTCAATATCAGACGCTGTAGAGCCCGTCAAAACAACTATGCTTAATGCGCATGTTTTGCCTAAGTCGTACTTAAACTATCTTGCAACCTTAACATCTCACTATGACTCAGCAATGAACTGGTGTTGTTTACTGTTATCGGTTGCCAAGCTTGCGCATATTTGCAATGGCTTAGGAGATCACTTTCGACTTGGTTTCGTACTGGTTGCGGGTGTGCCTAAGCGCTGGTGGTGTACATATCTTTTCCTTTCTTATTTGTGAACGAATTTATTTTTTTCCTTCACTTCTCCTTATACACTTTGTATTAGTTTTTAATATTAATTAGTATAAGATTTACTTCCAAGAGTCAATTGAATTCTGCTGTTCATTTATTGTAGCTGACTTGCATGTGCAATAAATAAGATGTACAGGTAAATGTTAACCCATCGATCGACCTTCCTAAACATCCAAAGCAAACATGGAATCTCAATAGTTACTATGATTGACAATCTATTCATGGAAATAAATTTCACCTTTTGGGTTTCTTCGATGCCTTTTGCAATCGTTCCTACTGTAAATGGCGTTTAAAAGCGAGTGGCGAACGTTTTTTACCGCAACTTTAGAGTTTAACCAAGTTCTTGCTTTCCATAGGAACTTTTAAGCTTATATAAGTAAGAGTAAATAAATGGAGTCAGACTGTTAAAGCAATCGAAAAGTGAAGCTTTTCATTCGATATTCCCGTATATTAACACGTTCGCGGACATAAATGCAAATAGCAAACGTTTTCAATGTGATGAAAAAATTATCAATATTTGCAATGCTTGACATTCACTGCGTTAGAGATTGAGTGGGTATAGCACTATTTTATTAAGATGAAGTCGACACTCCTAAAAAAAGAGGAGTTGAAGTTGGCGGCACTTTACGTAAGAAGGGTCGATTAATAATTCGCAAATGTTACGGCCGCGCATTTCTTGTTTTTGCATTATGTCAATGGAACCTTTAAACGATGAGCAAACGAAAGATCGGTATTAAAAAATATATCGGACATGCGATAAGTCAAATTTGTGCTTCACAAGAAGTAAGAAAAGTAGAAACACACAGCACGCAATACACAAACTTATCGTATATTATATACAATTATATTATAGCTACTCTTATACGATATCTTCAATCAGATTTTGGATCTGACAATTAAGTTTAAAATAAATTCATTGTCCATCTTCGGATGGCACTGAAATGTTCACTGTCCTCGAACGCATTAAAAGCTCAACTTGCAAATTATTCAAAATCTAAGACTGCTCAGCTATTTACATTTAACCTTCGCTATGCATTTCTGGATGTTGTAGAGGATTTTTATAATTATCTTTTTGCGCTGAATGAATGTAAGAATGAAGTGACGCGTGTATTTGAATTAGAAAAGACTTGATTCTACAGCGAATATAGCCGGAAACATTTGCCATAACGTGTAAGGAAAGGTTAGAGAATGCATTGTGAAAACTAATTATGAATTTTGATATTAAACCTTCCTTACCTTACCTTTATATATTGCAAATAAGTAGCAAATGACGAGACAAACAATTTATTAATTAATTAGAATTCCAATCACGTTAAAATATTGAAAAGCAAAGAAGCAAAAATAATAATAATAATAGCAATAATAATAATGATTATTATAAAATCCAAAGATTCCAAAGTTTTAAGCAATGGATGATAGATATGTGCACAAAGAAGCTACGCGCGCACTCATCTTATCTCTCATTGGATTATAAGAAAAGTGAAAACTGCTTGAAGTAGATCATGAAATAAAAAC